TATTGCCGAGTCAGGAATGGAAGGCAGACGAAACAAAATTGTAGTCTATTAACATAAAAAAATGATGTGATGGCGATGATGATAATAATGACGATGATGATGACGTGATGACCAACACAGTAACGCATCTTGAGAGATTTCAGCGGAAGAAGAATGTGTATTCTTGTCGCCTAAAGTGTCTGATACTGTTTCAAGTTAGTTTGAAAAATAAGAAATAAAAAAAACGTGTATTGACACAGACTGAGAGATTATGAACAAAGAATCACTAACACTTGCTATTTATGAGTTCCCTTCGTATTCAGTGACATAAGGACTGCATTGTGACAATCATGCAAGAAAGTAAACAAAAGAAAACACAACAAAATCGTGAAAACTTTTGTCTGTGTCACGGAGCCATTAAAGTAAAAAAAGAAAAAAAAGTTACTTTGAAACCTTTCACGATTACAATATAACAAAGATGTCTCTAGTTTTTGACATGAATGATATTTTCAACAGAGAGAGAGAGAGAGAGAGAGAGAGAGAGAGAGAGAGAGAGAGAGAGAAACTGAAAAATAACGTTTTAAGAAACATTTGATTATTATAATTCATGCTTTAAGATTGATTTTATGACAACTTAATTGACAAAATCGGAGAGAGAGAGAGAGAGAGAGAGAGAGAGAGAGAGTTAAATAGAGAGTGTGAGAGGAAGGAGGGAGGACGAGAGTGAGAGTTTACTAATGACTCCATAATACACTTTAAAACAGATTATCCGGTATGGATGCAACATTTAAAACCTTTAGAATATCCATCAACTAATACAATTTTTTCTCCTCCGCAATCCCTAACATTCATAAATTGCAATGTTATAGTGAATTGGTGGGAGGGGGGTGGTGAGGTAAATAAAAGGGAGGCGTGAATTAGACAGGGGACCGTCCAAACGGGGGGGGGGGGGGGGTAAAGTGGAAACCAGGGTGATATTGGAGCAGAAATGGTATAAAGCTGTGTTTGAATTCCCTGCTGTATCATTCATATATGAGTTAGCTAGCCCATGTTATACGTACAAGAATGAGGAAACTACCCAGTGACTGTTTCAGCCAAAACCTGGTTATTTCTTGGGAGGCGCAAGGGCATAAGCGCCAACAGGTAAACTACGGACGCAGGTAATTAGCGCTAGGTGCTCCTGTTTGGACTTTTGCTTGTTGCAGTCTTGCATATGGCATTTGAGAATGATATTGCACATAGATATGAGTTCTTTCGTGAGTTTTGTGTACATTTATACATGAAATATGTTTTCCATCTAGACTCTCTTGTAATGTTGTAGCTTATGTAGGGGTCTATATAAGAACCGGTAAGTATCGGAAAAATAAGTGAAATATTGATTATTTTATGTTGAATATGATAGTACATGATACCCGCTCTAAAAGAAATGTTATGTGGAATTTTAAAATGGCTCATATGCATTCGCTTCGTAAGAAGTTGATATACCTGGCGTTATGCGTTTCCAGTAAAAAATGCAACCTGGGGACGCTACCGTTGGTCGTAGGTACCATAAAAAAGGAAAATACCCACCCCACCAAGCCGTCCGATCATTTTGTTCACTTATTTGCAAAGGTAATGCGCTCAAATGGTTGAATGCCAATATTGCAATGGTCTACCATGTCCAATAGACATTTTTTTGCAAATATCAATAAAGAGAACGATTTTATCTGGGGAAACTAATATTTTTTCGTTATGTAAAAGTGTTATTCTTATCAAATGAGGATGATTAAAGCTCTCAATCTAATGTGCGTGTGTTTACATACATATCAACCTTCTCGAAAATTGAAAATATAGTTCACCATACCAGACAGTTGGAAAAAAAGGGAACGGAAATTAAGTTAAGTAATTTATTTACCAACACGGCTGTCTGCTCAGACGTAAGCAATCACGATTACAGTTTTACGTATATTTGGCATAGTATAGTATTCTGTGACCACTGTAATTGTACATGGTAAAATAAAAATATAAGTCATACATCATATAATAGAAATATTAATTTGATATACTTTTGCTACTGTGTTTACATAACACTGTTCTATGTTTACGGCAGTTTCATATAGTAAATTTAGGATATTGTACGAGTATATCTTTCAGTGTATCAGATGAAATGAAATATTCATAAAGTTCTTTATATTTCATGTTAGGTGGCCTGAATGACTGTATCACATGACATTCCGAAATATAGTGCTCACGCGTACCCGTGATTTCTTTGTTATACAGTCTATATCTAGATTCATCTGCACTTCTTTGACCATACATTCAGTAACCTAAACGTATTTTGGCAATAGCCACGTCACATTGTCTAGTCTGACTTCGGTGCCACCCATAGGAAGGCTTGTTATCTCTACACTGATCGTAGTACCTTATGGTACAGCTTTCAGGCCATTGAGTGTTCGTCAGATCTACCAGTTCTTCGCTATGAGAACTATTCAATATGTGTAACCCTAGCAAGAGGCATCCCAAGATCTATGTTCACAGTATCTTTGCTGCAGGCTTCCTTCGCCAATTCGTCTACCTGGCTGTGCTTGTATATGCCAACATGAGATGTTATCAATTCAAATTTGATGTTGAATTTGCGCTCTATTGCATAAGTTACGTTTAGTGCAACTCACAATTTCTTTGATAGAATTTAGTATCCATAGAGAACTTTGAGTCAAGAAAACTACTCCAGAGCCACGAAACATTAAGTATTCTGTTGCAAGGAGTAAACCTGCCAACTCCGTTTGTATAGTGCTGCACTCTCATATTAATTTGATGTAGTAAGCCATTTCTGTATACAGCGCAAGTACAACCGTCTGGTACGGATCCGTCTGCGTAACATTTGTATACATCATCGATTATAGGTTTTGTGTGTTCCTTTACCGTTGCTAACGCAATTTGTTTTAACACGCATTGTTGTTGTTTTTTTTTGTGTGTGTGTGTGTGATAGACATGTAAGGTGCACGATTAGTGGTGATTTTTTTCCATGGTGGAATGGATCACCCCTTTGGCATTTTACTAATTGGGACATTGAGCCTTGTAATTTTCATGGAGATTTTATGTATCATAGGGCGCACGTATGTATGATTAGTCACGTCTGCTTGCGTGATTTTATGTTGCAGTTGTATTTTGGAAATCTGAATAATACAAGGGTTCCCTCAGAGCTTTGACCCCAAATATGGGGGAAACAAACATTATTGTATCAAAAATGGATGGTAAGTTTAGTTCTGATTTCATGGTTACTATTCTCGGGGCGCCGAGGATGATCCTTATAGCTTCATTTTGCACTACCTACAAGCCATTTACTTCTGATTCCTTACAGTGCAGAAAATGGATGCAAAAAAATCGGAGTGACCTTCCTGTAGAGCTGATTAAAGTAAAAAAATATTTTTTAGGTAATTCAGGGAAAAAAGTACGACCTCTGGACGGTCCCGGTCAACGTCCAAAAGAGTCGATTTTTTCGACATTTTTTCCTGTTCAAATAAGATATGAGACAAACCACAATTTTATACTCTATAACATGCAAGAGAAATCAGCTATCAGTTATCTAAAACCGTTTTTTTTAATGAACAAATGAGTGGAGCAAGGTAGGCTTTTCTCGAGACGGTCCACATAAAAGACTGACTTACATTCGTACATAATACACATAACACTACACTCTTTTCTGTATCTAATCTATCTTGTGTAGATGTATATAAGTAATAATATTTTAAGTGACTGCACCTCTCTCTCTCTCTCTCTCTCTCTCTCTCTCTCTCTCTCTCTCTCTCTCTCTCTCTCTCTCTCTCTCTCTCTCTCTCTCTCTCTCTCTCTCATACACCCAGGCACACACACACACACACACACACACACACACACACACACACACACACACACACACACACACACACACACACACACACATACACACAAGCACGTACGCACGCTCACATAAATTGCCTATGCACATACACACACATGCACCCCCCCCCCCAAAAAAAAAAAAAAAAAAAAAAAAAAAAAAACACGCACGCACATACACACATACGCGCGGCGGCAGTAACTAACAAATATATAAATATATGTTTTTAGAGCAGTGAAATTTGTTACTATTACTCAAATAAGAAAGAAATATGAATACAAGAGTAAGAATTTGTAGCGTGATAATAAACGAAAATCAATTACAAAAATGACACTGATGTAATAAAACTTAACAGTCGAATGTTTTAGCAAAGAAATCGAACTCTTACGAGAAAGATGCATAGTACAGCAATAACAGTATCATTGAAAATTATGAAATCGTAATAAACGCAAATATTTGATAACCAAACCAAAGCAACGCTGACTGAAAACGTTTCTTTTGGCGCGCAAATTCAAGAGCCGCCATTACTGTTACGAAAAATAGCAATAATGTTGATGACAATATATCAGCATTAATTATAATTATGACACATTAAGAAAAACAAAAAACAAGTGTGTAAAATTCAATAGACTTTGAATTTGTTTTCTTGGCGGGAAAAGTGATAAAATCCTTTCCGGCTGAAGAGGTAAAAAGCATTATATAAAATAACACCAGAAACAATAATAAAGCAATCGGGAAAAAGAAAAAGAAAAAAAAAACAAGCAACAAACCGAGTATTATCTTTTTGATACTTAAATGAGATACAATTATTGCAACAAACCCAGTATTATCTTTTTGATACTTAAATGAGATACAAATATTGCAACAAACCCAGCATTATCTTCTTGATACTTAGATGAGATACAAATATTGCAACAAACCCAGCATTATCTTTTTGATACTTAAATGAGATACAAATATTGCAACAAACCCAGCATTATCTTTTTGATACTTAAACGAGATACAAATATTGCAACAAACCCAGCATTATAATTTGATACATAAATGAGATACACATATATTTCATATTTTTGGCGGGAAATCATATTTTATTTCATATTTTTGGCGGGAAAATTCGAAAGTGCTGCCCTCTCGCGGCGGCGCGCGGAAGCTCCACCAGCCATGTAAACAACGCAATGGAGGCGGACGAGGACTTGGCTCATCACATCCGCAAATTAAAGGCGTCAGACGACCTCTTTAAGGATATTAAGTTCTACGCGACGGGAAAGATTCCAGATGAGGTTCGTGATGGAGTAGAAGGGAAAGGAATGGCTCCTCTTTGTCCAGATTTCGCGTTTGTAGTGGTTTTTTATTTGGCGGTTGTTTATAAAGCCCGTCAAACATTGGGTTTTTGGGAATATTATTATTATTGGTCTGTTTTACTGGGAGTTACGGCCATAACTACCGTGAAACTAGGGGCATACCGGGACAGAAATGGTGGAAAGCTGTTTTTGAATTCCCTGCTACATCATTCTTATATATATATTTTTACGCTTTTTATTATCTTGTCTTAATCTCTTGGGTTTAGTTTTATTTTCGTACAGCCATATGATATAAGGTCAATCTTGTCTGTAATTCTTCAATCTTGTCTGTAATTCTTCAATCTTTTCTGTAATTCTTCAATCTTGTCTGTAATTCTTCCCTGTAATGGACAGAACAACAAAAAATAAGACACTTTTCATTTATTGTTATAACCTCTTCAGCAACACACACAATACTTTGGTATACTGTTGCATGTTGACTAATCAAGGATCAGGTAAAAATATAAGGACTCATAAAGAAAGGGAAAAACTTTATTTACCGATTCCTGAAAAAAAGAAGAAAGTAGGTGGCAAATTCCCCAGCGATCCAGTAGGGGCCCAGGAGCAGAAGTACAGTGATCGTGTGGGGTCTGGGGGGGGGGGTGAAGGCCAGGTTTGGTAGGTTTTAGGTTGATACAGCAATGTTTGTGGAACCCCAGGAGTGGCCAGAGTAATAGGGTCTTGCATCTCAGAGGGTACAGTCACTTTAATTTTTTTTACCAATGATTTCATTTGATAATATTTGTGGTGGAAAACAACAACAGATCATGTATATTATATTTTGAATAACTGAAATAAGAAATGATAATGGAATGGCTATGAGAAACCAAAAAATTACCAGTACAGCCAGGAATTTTGATTTGAAGGGAGGACATGAACTTCATTGCAGGATAAAACGTGAAACAGATAGATTGTAGAAAAACTAATAAAATCAGCTGATTCTTCTCTTTCTCCTTTTTTTTTTTTTTTTTTTTTTTCCTTTTTTTTTCTCTTTTTTTCTTTCTCTCGATCTTTCTCTTTGAATATTTTTTGAGTAGAAGTGGTATATTTATAAAATGCTTAGAATCCAAGGAATCAGTAACAAGGGCTACCTGATCTCACATGTTTACGTTTCCTTTATTGCAATTACCAGTAATCTTGTTATCCCGTTTAATCCAGGTGCCTTGTGGCTCACTTTTAGGTAAAAGTCTGAGCAATAGTAATAGTATTTTTAACCCCTTCACGATGGGTGATAAAAACTAACCGCTCGAAAAGTGGCATGCGGCTTTACGCTGCAGCGGCAAGTCAAAGCGCGGTGAGCTGGTGATTCGGCCTGCTATACCGAACTCCCACGCTCTAAGTCGGCGCACTGCCAGTTTTTTCTTTTTTCTTTTCTTTTTCTTTTTCTTTTTCTTTTTCTTTTCTTTTTCTTTTCTTTTCTTCACCCGTCACCATTGGGTTAACAATTAAATAATATAACCCAATGCCACTGGGGAAAATGAATAATAAATGGGAAAATGTTGTGCTCATTTTCTATATTTTTTTTGAAATGTCTGCACATAGATGGCTGTGCTAGTGCTTAGCCACAAAGGAGTCAATTAGTAGACCTTGCAACCTTACGTGATTTGAATTGGTGAGAAAAAACTATTTTTTACCAGTACTATAAATATTGATGGTGTTATTTTTATTATAAACATTATAATTACTATAATGTTATAAACATTAGTAACAGGAAAATAAGATAACGTAAAATATTTTTGTAAATGAAAGTAAAGGGTAAACGGGCAAGACAGGCAGTACTCTTAACTGGCTCATTGGTAACTTAGTATAAGTGTAGTCATCGATGTGTAAAAACAGTCAAACAAGTACTCACAGTAGGCTTAGCATGTACGTACACGTCATGCTCGTCAGCATGTCAGCATTGGGTTAATCCCTTCACGATGGGTCACGCCTACAGGCATGAAAACAAACCACTCAAAATGTGGCGTGTGGCTGTATGCCGCTGTGGCAAGCCAGTGATTCGGCTTGATGTACTGAACTCCCACATTCAAAGTTGACATGCTACCATTGATTGCCAGAGCGTAGTTTTTTCTTTTTCTTTCTTTCTTTCTTTCTTTTTTCTTTTTCTTTTTCTTTTTCTTTTTCTTTTTCTTTTTTCTTTTTTCTTTTTTCTTTTTCTTTTTTCTTTTTTCTTTTTCTTTTTCTTTTTCTTTTTCTTTTTTCTTTTTTCTTTTTTCTTTTTTCTTTTTTCTTTTCTTTTCTTAACCTGTCACCATTGGGTTAAGTAACAGGGTAATCACTGGAGGTCAAGTAGGCCTAAATAATTAGCTCTTTGGTGACTAAGCACAGATGGAGCAAAACTACAGTGGACAGTGCATGTGCCCAGTGCCAACTGATTAACCAATTGAATCTAGAAGTTTCACTACCATCACATGGCCCAAAATCCAGGTTTTAGGCTTACATAAGGGCCTACTTTGATGGGTGTGCTGCTTGTAGGTCGGGCACAAAGGGACACTTGTGCAGTGATAAGACTCTATGCCTCCCCTATACCATGTTATTTTCTCTTTTTCTCTTTCTCTCTCTCTCTCTCTTTTTTTTTTTTTTCATAATAATTTTTAGTTTTTTTTACCAGTTTCCAATGTCTATATTAGTCATTTGATCTGCTTTATCTAGGTGTTTACCTTGCACATACTCCATATCATCTCTCTAGGTAGTCCATAATATTCAATTTTCTATGATACACCCTGCACTACTGGTCATGAATAGAATCCTGAGCTTGGAAATAGTGTCATCCCAGGAGCTGGCACTCTTCCAGTCATGGCTCACTGATGGTATATTCCACACTCTTTTATTGATGGAAATAATGTAAAAGCCCCTTCCTAAATGCCCACTGAGTCTAACCATTCAAGAGGTTTGTACACTCATGGGGAGTCATGCCTGTCTCCCCGCATTCAGCCTCTAATTCTCATGACAGAAAGTTCCCATCAACACCGCCCTCAGCCAGATTTTGTCATGATGCTATGTTCACATTACCCACCCCTCAAGCCAAATTTTTTCATGCGGAATGGTCACGGCTTTCAGAGCATAGTTAAAAACCATATATTATAGATGATCAACTATGGAAAAGAAAATTCTGTAATATTCTGCAATAGCAGAACAGTATTGAAAAGGACATAATTAATATTTTGAATTGCACATGGCAGGCATTGATAAAAGGTATATTTTGGTGATACACTATTAAATGTATTATATCAATGGTGATGGGATTCCAGCCCCCCAAACCCAAAGCTGTGTGCGGTCAGAAGCTTGGAGAACATATTGATCTTGCTCTGTGTGTTTGGTTTTAGCATACAGAAATTTCCAGCACAGATTTGAGTGGCTGTAACTCTTTAATTGCCAGAACCAAACAAGCGAACACCTGTATAATGCACATAACCTGGAGATGACTGACCGCACACAGCTAGCCAACCAGCATTCAACTTCGGCTCATTATGGCTAGAATAGTTGAACACAGTGAATACTGGATTAATTTATTTCCTTTTCTTCCTTTTTAGGTTTTAAAGCTGTTGACAGATGGAGGGGCCAAGCAAGATGCACACATCACAGATTTCATGACCCATCTTATCACAGGAGAAGATCCCAACGAGAATGATGTTGGAGTTGTAAAAGATATATACGAGAAACCTGTTGTTACACAGCGATGGGTCATACTTTCAGTCAAGTGTGGGAAGCAACTGCCGTATCCTTTATTTACGTTATTGTTTATTACATCTATACATCTATATATATGCATGAGTAAAACAAGGAGTTTTTTTTTTTTTTTTTTTTTTTTTTTTTTTTTTTTTTTTTTTTTTTTTTTTTTTTTTACTGCTATGTATTGATAGCTCTTTTTCTTTCCCCCATTTTCTTTCTCTTTTTCTTACTCCTTTCCTCCTTCATTTACTGCCTATCATTGATTGTGCAAAAGTATGTTTTTCCAGGTTTTTCCTTAACTTTTACACAGGGTAGAAGGCTTCAACCCTGAGAACAATCAATTGTTTTCTGGTGTGATTGCTAGTATTTCAAAACTAGGAAAAGAAGATTCTCTTGCAATTTGGGCTATGATAACATTTTCAGGAGGTCAATTGAAACTTCACTTCGACAACTCATGCACTCATCTTATTATTGGAAAACCAGAGGGGGTAAGATGTTTTACTCTACTTCAAGTCCCCACCCCCTCTCTCTCTCTCTCTCTCTCTCTCTCTCTCTCTCTCTCTCTCTCTCTCTCTCTCTCTCTCTCTCTCTCTCTCTCTCTCTCTCTCTCTCTCTCTCTCTCTCTCTCTCTCTCATTCTCTCTCTCTCTCATTCTCTCTCTCTCTCTCCCTCCCTTTCCCTTTCCCTCTCCCCTCTCTCTCTCTCTCTCTCTCTCTCTCTCTCTCTCTCTCTCTCTCTCTCTCTCTCTCTCTCTCTCTCTCTCTCTCTCTCTCATCCTCTCTCTCTCTCATTCTCTCTCTCTCTCTCATTCTCTCTCTCTCTCTCTCCTCTCCTCTTCCCTTTCCCTCTCCCCTCTCTCTCTCTCTCTCTCTCTCTCTCTCTCTCTCTCTCTCTCTCTCTCTCTCTCTCTCTCTCTCTCTCTCTCTCTCTCTCTCTCTCTCCCCCTTTCCCTTTCCCCCCCCTCTCTCTCTCTCTCTCTCTCTCTCTCTCTCTCTCTCTCTCTCTCTCTCTCTCTCTCTCTCTCTCTCTCTCTCTCTCTCTCTCTCCTTCCCTTCCTCCCCCCCCCTCTCTCTCTCTCTCTCTCTCTCTCTCTCTCTCTCTCTCTCTCTCTCTCTCTCTCTCTCTCTCTCTCTCTCTCTCTCTCTCTCTCTCTCTCTCTTTTTCTCTTTTTTTTATGTATACATACTTGTTAAACATGAAATATGAAATTGTTTTAATAGTTATTATTATGGTTATTATTATTGTTCTTGTTTTATGTCTAGGCAAAGTATACAACAGCACTTGAATATGAAGACAATCTCAGCATTGTGACTCCTGACTGGGTCACTGAGTCAATAGCAGAAGGGGAAAGATTAGACGAGACAGAATACCACCCAAGACTGCTAAGACTACCCAAATCAGATTTAATGCATGCACCAGAGCCCAGTATAGTGAGAGAGCGAAAGAAGAAGGACACGTCTCATCAACAGAAAAATGAGGAGTTGAAGAAGAAGGAAGAACCAAAGAAAAAGGAGGTTGAAAAGAAGTCACTCTTTGATACTTTGCAATTTAGTGATGATGAGGAAGAGAGTACCAAAGGTAACTCTCTACTTGATCAACTGAAGACTCCCCAGTCTTGGAAACAGCCAAGTACCAAGCCAACAGTAACAACAAGAGCTTCAGCTAGTACTACTTTTGGCTCTCCAGTAGCTCATGACAAGCCTAGAGCTCCTTTGACAGCACCAATCTCCATAACAAATCCACCACAGATGGTAACAACTCGGTCAGTCACCCCTCAGCCCAGCCCAGCACCCAAGGCCATTGCTCAGACCACAGCTGCAGGTTTGCGACAGGTAGCAACTCCACCAACTGCAGAACTGGCTGACCAGTCAGAATCTGATGCAAGTCCATCGAGACCAATTTCAGCTCAAGGACTACGTGCTGGACTTCAACAGACTACAGCATCTTTAGGTCCTACCATGAGCATGGGACCAGCACAGGCCCCCAATACACGGTCCTCTGCACAGTTAGAGGCACCATCTCCTGCAAACACTGTAGCTCAGACAGCCCAAGGTTTGTCCTTATGTTATTTATACCTTATGTTACTTCGATTTGTTGTTAAATAATGACTAGATTGTGAATCATACTGATGTGTTCTCTTTGTAGCAGTTATTTTTCTCCTTTTTTTATTTCTGATTCTTGACTGTCATTTTAGTTTCATAAATTTGTCTAGAATCTATTGCAGGGAACTGTACTTGTTCAGATATGTTAGATGATTGTAATTTATTTTTCTTTTGTTTTTCAGGCAATGTTGCTCGTGCAACTCCTCCAATACCTTCACGTGTAACCCCACCAAATACATCTCGTGCTACTCCTCCTAACACTGCCCGTGCTACACCACCTAACAATGCTCTTAGAGTTACACCACCTAATGCCTCTCGTGCAACCCCACCTAGTACCTCAAGAGCTACTCCACCAAACAATTCAAGAGAAACTCCTCCAGCACGCACCACCCCAACACCTCCTATGTCTTCTCGTGCAACTCCACCTTCCACCACCCATACACCATCACCAGTTACCTCTCGTGCAACACCACCAGCCACAGCTAGAGCAACAACTCCTGTGATTTCAAGAGGGAATCCTCCCGTGGTTGGGCCTGCTGGGCCCAGAGTTCCTGCAATGCCACTAACAGTGACTAACCCAGGTGTTCGAGCTCCAGGAGCAGTGTCACAAGTGGCTCCAGGGGAAATTCCAATACCTAACATGCCACAACAGGTTCATACAGTAAGTGCATTCATATTATGTTGTATGTCAACATTACTGTTGGATTATCATTGAAAATAAATATATGTTTACATCTCTTCAACCGAAATACTCTCACCCAGGTTGCTATCCCAGGGGCAGTTGTTAGACTTCCACAAGGAGTTACCCCACGCAAGTTACAGATGATGACTCCAACAGAACGGCAGTCCTTCCTGCAAAACCTCCATCAAAAACAATTACAGGAACAGCAGTCTAGGGGAAAACCTCGTGCTGGAAAGCCTCAGGTAAGTTTTAATCTTACAGATTAGTTATTCATATGACAAAGTGAATGTTATGAGGAATGTGGGCCAATTTATGTTACAAAGACAAAATTTCTATTACAGTATAAACAGGGTGTAAGGTATGCTGCAACTGGTATCCATACACAAGGTACCCCAGCAACACCTGGCACACAAGTTTCCTCATGGCCTGGCACAGGTCAGGGAACACCAGTTGTAAGACCAGCAATGGCTGGCAGTGGCCCAGGAACTATAGCTGTTTCTTATCAATCTGGGCAGGTGCAAGGGCAGACTCCTGGAGCTCCTCAGGTTGTTACAGCAGTTACCCCAGGTGAAGGTGTGCGACCAGGATGGCCTGGACCAGGACAACAGCAATACCCAGGAGGTCAGCCACAACCAGGTACAAGGGTTGTTGTAGGTCAAACAAGTTGGCAACAGCAGCAGCAACAAACAGGTATTCGTGCTCAGGCTCCAGCTACTCCAGGACAACAGCCAACTTCTCAGACATTGTTGCCACAACATGTACAACAATTACAACTGCAGATTCAGCAGTTATGCCAGCAGTTCCCTCATCTTACTCAGCAAGATGCTTCACAGTTAATCCCTCGCATTCCAGCTCATTACCGCCAGATTCAGCAGTTAGATAATGCTCAGCGAAGTGAGTATTTAGCACAGCTAGAACCCAAAGAGAAGCAAGTTGTTACTTATTTCTTTCTAAGAAAGCAGCAGCAGCAGTTATTCCAACGCCATCAACTGCTACAGCAGCAGCAGCAACAACAACAGCAGCAGCAACAACAGCAACAGCAGCAACAACAACAACAACAGCAGCAGCAACAGAAAGTAGGTACTCCTCAGCAGTCTCCTCATAACTGGCAACAACAACCACAGCAGCCAGGGCAGCAGCCTGCCCCACAAGCAGCTGTTCAGGGTGGTCAGTATCCACCCATGTCACCCCATGGAAGGCCAATACCAGGACGTCCAATGCCTCAAGGTTATCCAGGATGTCAACCTGGTGGTGTAGTATCACCAGGTCAAGGGTCTCCTCATATGGTACCTGGAGGCCAGCTGACTCCACAACAACAACTTACGCCACATGTTTCACCACTGGCATCTCCTCATGGACATTCACCTATTCATAGGGGAGATGGAACTCTTATGGGTCATCCAGGAGCTATTCAGGGATCCCCAGTGCCACAGAACCTTGTGAATCAACAGAACTTGGTTAATCCAAAGACAAAGACTGCTTTGGCTATTCATCTAACTAACAGAGGAGTGATATCACAAGGCCCACAGGGGCCCATTGAGGTTCCACCACATGTAGTACAGAAGCCTGGCATACCACAAGAAGCTGTTCAAGGTAATAATCTTCATTTTTTATGAATGGTAAAACACTTCCATGTTGATACTATAGTAGAAAACCCACAATGCAAAGGCTAGATTTATTGAAAATATGACTTCAGTTTGTAGTCCCAATACATCTGCCATTGTGTGTACCTATGATATGTATGATAAATTCAGTGATTTTTAATATCACTTTTCACATGACACTTAGAGCTATTATAAAGATATAAAAATATATATATATTAAATATATATATATATACATGAATATATATATATATCATATAATATATATAGAATATATATATATATACATGAATATATATATATAATGTGTGTTTGTGTACATACACGTGCACATGCAGGTGTGTAAGGGATATAAGTGAGAATGTACTGGCTGGCAGCTACACATAAGTTGGGGGATGGAAAAATCTCAGGGGGTAAGCATCTCTCTCTCTCTCCTCTCTCTCTCTCTCCTCTCTCTCTCTCTACTCTCTCTCTCTCTCCTCTCTCTCTCTCTATCTCTATATATATATATCAATATATATATATATTATTATATATATATAATGTATATATATAAATATAGATATATATATGTGTGTGTGTATATATATATATAATGTGTGTGTGTGTGTGTATATATATATATAAATATTATATATATTATATATTATATATATTATATATATATATATATATAATCTTATATATATATATATATATATATATATATATATTATATATATATACATACATACATACAGACATACATACATACATACATACATATATATATATATACATATATATATACATATATATACGTATATATACATATATATACGTATATATACGTATATATACATATATATATATATAGATATTATATATATATAAATATAATATAATAATATATATATATATATATATATTCTATATATCTATATATATAATTATATATAAATATATATAAAGATATATATATATGTATAAATATATAATATAAATATAATATATATAAATATAATATATATTATATAATATATAATATATAATATATAATATATATAAATATATAAATATATAAAATATATAAATATATTATATAAAATATAAATAATATATAAATATAATATATATTAATATATTATATATTTATATATAATATATAATATATAATATATATATTAAATATATATAATATATATAAATATATTATATAAAATATAAATATATATTATATAAATATATATATCTAATATATATATAATATTATATATATATTATAATATATATATAATAAATATATATAAATATAAATAATATATAATATATAAATAATAATATATATATAATTATATATATAATTATATATATAATAATATATAAATATATAAATATATATAATAATAAAATATATATTATAATATATTATATATATAATATATCTATATCTATATATATTATATATATATAAATAATATATATAAATTATAAATATATATTATATATATCTAATATATATATATAAATATACATATATATATAATATAAATATATATAAATAATATATATTATAATATATTATATATATAAAATATCTATATATATATTATATATATACTATATATATAAATATATATTATGAATATAAATATTATATAAATATATATATGCATATAAATATTATATATATAAATAAATTATATATAATATAAATATATATATATTAATATATTATATATTATATATATATTATATATTTATATATATCTATATCATATATATCTATATAAAATATATATAATAATATATATAATATAAATATATATTATATAAATATATATAAATATAAATATATATAATTATATATATATAATAGATATATAATATATATATATAATATAAATATATATAATATAAATATATATAATATAATAATATATATATATAATCATATATATATAATAAATATATATATAAATATAAATATATATTATATAATATATATAAATATTATATATATAATAGTATATATATATAATACTATATATATATATAATATATATCTATATATCAATATATATATATATTAAATATATATATATCATATATATAAATATAATTATATATATAAATATAAATAATATATATAATATTATATATATAATATATTATATATTATAATATATTATATATAGTATATATATATATAAAGATATATAAATATATATATTATATAAAATATAAATTATATATAAATATATAACTATATATATAAATATAAATATATAATATATAATATATATCTATATCTATATATAATATATATCTATATAGTATATATAATATATTATATATTATATATATATCATAATATATATATA